GTACCTGGTATTGTTTGGAGTAAGTACCTGTTATTGTTTGGTGTAAGTACCTGGTATTGTTTGGAGTAAGTACCTGATATTGTTTGGAGTAAGTAGCTGTTATTGTTTGGTGTAAGTACCTGTTATTGTTTGGAGTTGTTTGGTGTAAGTACCTGGTATTGTTTGGAGTAAGTACCTGTTATTGTTTGGAGTAAGTACCTGTTATTGTTTGGTGTAAGTACCTGGTATTGTTTGGAGTAAGTACCTGATATTGTTTGGAGTAAGTAGCTGTTATTGTTTGGAGTAAGTACCTGTTATTGTTTGGTGTAAGTACCTGGTATTGTTTGGAGTAAGTACCTGATATTGTTTGGAGTAAGTAGCTGTTATTGTTTGGTGTAAGTACCTGGTATTGTTTGGAGTAAGTACCTGATATTGTTTGGAGTAAGTACCTGGTATTGTTTGGAGTAAGTACCTGTTATTGTTTGGAGTAAGTACCTGTTATTGTTTGGTGTAAGTACCTGTTATTGTTTGGAGTAAGTACCTGTTATTGTTTGGTGTAAGCACCTGGTATTGTTTGGAGTAAGTACCTGCTATAGTTTGGAGTAAGTACCTGTTATTGTTTGGAGTAAGTACCTGTTATTGTTTGCTTTTTTTGGAATATAGCCATGGCTGAGAGTTTAATAAGTGATAAAGTATGGTACTTATTATTGAGTATAAAACAATATGGTTAGATATGATGACACCTTGATCAGATTAATGAAGAGAGAAATTTGTTATTTGTACCCTTTTCCTCTCAAGTGATGAGATGGTGACTAATTAGCAACAAGAGCCCAGGTCTTATGATGAAATATGACCATACTGTTATAGATAGATAATCAAGCAAGCTCTTGTCTCAAGGGCTCCTCTCCATAATTCTTATGATGTACTTCAAGATGAAACTGCTTCACTACATTTTCAGCAGGATCTTTCAGAGTGAAGTTGGTGTAGTACACACAGTACTGGATGTCCGCATTTCCTATGTTTGTTTATCATATCCAGGATATATATGATTGAACGTTTAATCCAGTGTATAAACTGATTCTAGTGTAAAGGTTTACTCCACTGTAAATATTTAGTCTAGTGTGAAGACATATTCCAGTGTAAAGGTTTACTCCACTGTAAATATTTACTCCAGTGTGAAGACGTATTCCAATATATACACATACTCCAGTGTAAAGGTTTACTCCACTGTAAATATTTACTCTAGTGTGAAGACATATTCCAGTGTAAAGGTTTACTCCACTGTAAATATTTACTCTAGTGTGAAGACATATTCCAGTGTAAAGGTTTACTCCACTGTAAATATTTACTCCAGTGTGAAGACGTATTCCAATATATACACATACTCCAGTGTAAAGGTTTACTCGACTGTAAATGTTTCTCTAGTGTGAAGACGTAATCCAGCGTAAAGGTTTATTCCACTGTAAATGTTTACTCCAGTGTGAAGACATATTCTAGCGTAAAGGTTTATTCCACCATAAATACTTACTCCAGTGTGAAGACATATTCTAGCGTAAAGGTTTATTCCACCATAAATACTTACTCCAGTGTGAAGACATATTCTAGCGTAAAGGTTTATTCCACCATAAATACTTATTCCAGTGTGAAGACATATTCTAGCGTAAAGGTTTATTCCACCATAAATACTTACTCCCGTGTGAAGACATATTCTAGCGTAAAGGTTTATTCCACCATAAATACTTACTCCCGTGTGAAGACATATTCTAGCGTAAAGGTTTATTCCACCATAAATACTTACTCCCGTGTGAAGACATATTCTAGCGTAAAGGTTTATTCCACCATAAATACTTACTCCCGTGTGAAGACATATTCTAGCGTAAAGGTTTATTCCACCATAAATACTTATTCCAGTGTGAAGACATATTCTAGCGTAAAGGCTTATTCCACCATAAATACTTACTCCAGTGTGAAGACATATTCTAGCGTAAAGGTTTATTCCACCATAAATACTTACTCCAGTGTGAAGACATATTCTAGCGTAAAGGTTTATTCCACCATAAATACTTACTCCAGTGTGAAGACATATTCTAGCGTAAAGGTTTATTCCACCATAAATGTTTACTCAAGTGTATAGGCATATTCCAATATAAAGGCATACTCCAGTGTAAAGGTTTACTCCAATATAAAGGTTAATTTTCTTCAATGTAAAGGTTTACTCTAAATGAAAGATTTTCTCTAGTGCGAATGGAGATTTACTCTAGTGCGAATGAAGATTTACTCTAGTGCGAATGGAGATTTACTCTAGTGTGAATGGAGATTTACTCTAGTGCGAATGGAGATTTACTCTAGTGTGAATGAAGATTTACTCTAGTGAAAATGCCTATTTTTGTATAAAGGTTTACTCCAGTTGAAAGGTCTATACCTTTAGATTTTGGAGGTCATTTGTCAGGGTTACAGGTCCAAGATCACCCCAGAAAGGTTATGTACGAGAAATGGGGGGAAGAGTGGTTAGTTCAGGCCTGTGTCTATCACGTACAGCTTCATTACATAGGGGAGTAACTGTGGTTAGTTCAGGCCTGTGTCTATCACGTACAGCTTCATTACATAGGGGAGTAACTGTGGTTAGTTCAGACCTGTCTCAGTCACTTACAGCTTCATTATATAGCTGAGTAACTGTGGTTAGTTCAGGCCTGTCTCTATCATTTACAGCTTCATTATATAGGGGAGTAACTGTGGTTAGTTCAGGCCTGTCTCTATCATTTACAGCTTCATTATATAGGGACGTAACTGTGGTTAGTTCAGGCCTGTCTCTATCACTTACAGCTTCATTATATAGGGGAGTAACTGTGGTTAGTTCAGGCCTGTCTCTATCATTTACAGCTTCATTATATAGGGACGTAACTGTGGTTAGTTCAGGCCTGTCTCTATCATTTACAGCTTCATTATATAGGGGAGTAACTGTGGTTAGTTCAGGCCTATGTCTATCACTTACAGCTTCATTATATAGGGACGTAACTGTGGTTAGTTCAGGCCTGTCTCTATCACTTACAGCTTCATTATATAGGGACGTAACTGTGGTTAGTTCAGGCCTGTCTCTATCATTTACAGCTTCATTATATAGGGGAGTAACTGTGGTTAGTTCAGGCCTATGTCTATCACTTACAGCTTCATTATATAGGGACGTAACTGTGGTTAGTTCAGGCCTGTGTCTATCACTTACAGCTTCATTATATAGGGGAGTAACTGTGGTTAGTTCAGACCTGTCTCTATATCATACACTATCATCTTGTGGTTTATGAGGTTTTACATAAATTACCCTCATCAACTGTGTGCCGTGGGAAAATATCGTCAGTGTCACAATCCCATAGCAAAGCTCAGGTGTGATTTTGTTTTTAGATATTAATTTATTCCTGCACATAAAATAAATGGCTCTTCACTATGTTTCTCGTGCATTTGAAAGGAACTTTACTAAATGTGTAACTGATTTTAATAAACTGTCCCTGCCGGCCGTGTCACTCTTGATAATATGGTGGTCCTTACCTCAGACAGGTGTACACATTCTCATTATCATTACCATATAATAATTGTGAGAACCTTTACAGAGATGTCTATAACTACAAAACATATTGAAGACTTTAACTGGATTGATATTACATGATGCCATCTATCATATCATTAAATAAAATTTAAAAAAAATTGATGTTTTGGAGTTATATTGATAGAGAAGTAAAAAAGAAGGTCATGAGATTAAAATATTTCCTTAGTAAATCCTTGCAGATGAAATGAAAAAGGACTGGGTTGGGGGGAGCTAGAAGTAAGAAAGGAAGATTTAGGAATGAATACTTCTGAATACGAAGTATAGAGAAAAGAGAGGAAAATAGACATAAATAAGAAAAGGAAAGGAAGAACTAAATGAGAGAAGAGGGAAGGGGTGTTAGTGAAGGTGAAGAAAGTGAAGATTAAAGATGAAGAAGAGTTAGCGGGATCGTGAAAAGAAGAATAATGAGGAATGGTGAAGATGAGGATGAGAGAGAGAATGGTAAATAAAGGAGTAAAGTTGAGCATAGAAGGTGTACTGGTTTATGTTGGTTTATGAAGCAGCTTCTGGACAAGATGCTGATGAATAATGTCTCCAATTATTGCACAATAGTGGCAGATTGTCTCATTATGCATTCTGAAGATGTGTGGTGATACATATAGCGTGATTGTTGGTTGGGAAGTGTATCTACAATGTCATGGTAGTGCCAAGGGCTGAATCTGGATGGGTGCCTGTGTCCTAATTACTGGGTATGCTCACATTATCACACACTGAACAACTCATCATACTGCAATTAAAAATACTACAGCTGTTTATGTTATCACTAAGTTAACGAGTCTCCCCTCTTAATTACAAATACTACAGTTGTTAAAGTTGTCACTGATATAACAAGTCTCAATGCACTCTCAATTAAAAATACTTTTGTCATTTTCCAGTTTATAATATTAGAGGTGTTTATGTTATATCAAAGATACAACAAGTCACTACTCTCAGTTAAATTTACTACAAGAAATAAATATCCACTCCCTATCAAAAATATTACGAGTTTCAGATCTCAATTAAAGTTACCAGAGAAGCTTAGAAACACAAAATGAGTCTCCGCTCTGAATTAAAATTACCAGAGAAGCTTACAAACACAAAACGAGTCTCCGCTCTGATTTAAAATTACCAGAGAAGTTTACAAACACAAAACGAGTCTCCGCTCTGAATTAAAATTGATAGAGCTGCTTATTATTATCACTGACATAATAAATTGCAACTCTCAATGGAAATACTATTATCTTATAGTATTACGGACTTACGGATTTTATATATCATGAAGTTCTTTACATTGTCACAGACACAACCATAAAGTTTTCTATTGTCAATGAAGTTGATCCAAAATTTGAAATGGCATGATTAAGAAAATATAATAATTATGGTTGTTTGAACTTCAGCACAGAAATCAGTATTTTCACATGACTACGTGATGTTTATGTTTCAGACGACGGTCAGATTATTGAGCGTGCTGCACATTCAGGCATCATACTCCCTGGCCAGGACTGGCACACGATTACTCACAATGGACCAACGGCTGGACTTATCTACAGGATACGCGTTGTCTGTGATGAACACTACTACAATACAACATGTACCAAATTCTGTCGCCCTCGTAATGACAAAATTGGACATTATAACTGCGATCAAAATGGCGATAAAGTTTGCATTGATGGTTGGATTGGGCCAGATTGTGAGGAAGGTAAGTATCAAATCTCAAACAATATGGATTCATCTGTCAAGGACAAAGATATCAATGGAATGTCCTTGACATCAAAAGTCAATAGTCAAAGATAACAATGAAATGTCCTTGACATCAAAAGTTATTGACAAAGATAACAATGAAATGTCCTTGACATCAAAGTCAGTGACAAATGTAACAATGACATGTCCTTGGCATCAAAGTCATTGACAAAGATAACAATGAAATGTCCTTGACATCAAAGTCAGTGACAAATGTAACAATGAAATGTCCTTGACATCAAAAGTCATTAACAAAGAAAACAATGAAATGTCCTTGACATCAAAAGTCAGTGACAAATGTAACAATGAAATGTCCTTGACATCAAAAGTCATTAACAAAGAAAACAATGAAATGTCCTTGACATCAAAGTCAGTGACAAATGTAACAATGACATGTCCTTGACATCAAAGTCAGTGACAAATGTAACAATGAAATGTCCTTGACATCAAAAGTCATTGACAAAGATAACAATGAAATGTCCTTGACATCAAAGTCAGTGACAAATGTAACAATGAAATGTCCTTGACATCAAAGTCAGTGACAAATGTAACAATGAAATGTCCTTGACATCAAAAGTCATTAACAAAGAAAACAATGAAATGTCCTTGACATCAAAGTCAGTGACAAATGTAACAATGAAATGTCCTTGACATCAAAGTCAGTGACAAATGTAACAATGAAATGTCCTTGACATCAAAGTCAGTGACAAATGTAACAATGGAATGTCCTTGACATCAAAAGTCAGTGACAAATGTAACAATGGAATGTCCTTGACATCAAAAGTCAGTGACAAATGTAACAATGGAATGTTCTTGACATCAAATGTCAGTGACAAATGTAACAATGAAATGTCCTTGACATCGAGGACAAAAGTTGTAGTTTGTTGTTAACATAGAATGTATTTAACAAAAGTGCAGCACTTTCCATAAGGAAGCACTGTATTAAGTATTAGTTTCACGCAGTGCTTCCTTATGGAAAGTGCTTGCATGAGATTGCTTTTCAGTGTCAAAGGTCAAGGTCACTGTTACAATAAAAAGAAAAAAATTTCTGTGTGAAATCTAGTTTGCTTTGGCCAATCTAACCCAAACTTCATACAATACTTCCTTACTGAAAGTGTTTGCTCAGGATTGCTTAACAGTTTTGAAGGTCAAAAGTCAAGGTCACTGTTACTGTAAGTAGGAAAACTGGTTTTTCTGCGATAACTCAAACTTGCTTTTGCCAATCAAACTCAAACCTCATACAATGCTTCCAGATTGCTTTTTAGCTTTGAAGGTCAAAAGTCAAGGTCACTGTTACTATAAATACAAATATCAGTTCCCCAACGATAACTACATTTTGCTTTGACCAAAAAATTTTTAAAAAATCATACTTTTTCCTTCCGGAGTTTTGGAGCCACATTGCAGGGTCCTTGCTGACCTGTCAGTGTCCTAGTTTGAGGGATGTCATCATTACCAAGTTAATACCTGTCAGAATCATGTACCTGTGTTGTTGATGTGTAGGTTGGAGGATATTTAATACCTGTCAGAATCATGTACCTGTGTTGTTGATGTGTAGGTTGGAGGATATTTAATACCTGTCAGAATCAAGTACCTGCATTGTTGATGTATAGGTTGGAGGATGTTATTATTACCTTATTAATACAGAGTAATCCTGTATAAGAGACTATTTGAAATAATAATAACTGGTAATAACAGCTCTGGTATCGTGTTTGAGAGAATAGTTGAAACTGTTTGTTGTTGAATTGAAATCCCCACATTGATGGGTAACCCATAGTCATCTCACCTGGCCGTGGGAAATATCATTTAAAATTTTCTAATGTCCCTTTTTAATATCTTTTCATTTCCTTTTCAATAAGTAATGTTTTTCTTTGACATTAAGAGCATTAACAACTTAAGTTTCACATTTCCCAGGTACATTATGTGTAGATACAGCTGACACTTATTCTATACTACAGAGCCACATCACTGACTTTTATGAGACATGGTTAAAGATGATATTATTCAGTTTTTATCTGACTGATACAGGCCTCATGTGCCCTTTGTTTTATTTTCTTGGTTGCTTTTTATTGTCCTGAATGTTCAGAAATATAGCTGTTGATGAAACACATTGTCAAAGCAATGCATGAAGACGTTTTTCTGTGGAAGTTACAAACCTTTACAGAGTAAGGACTACTAATGTTGCACCAGTAAACATTTTAGACAGAATTTCAGTTTATGTTTTCCTCTTATAAATGATTTTGTCTAAGTATTGTGTTTGAAAAACATCAATAATTTTTTTCAAGACCATTAGTCTTTTGAAGAGAAAACTACTAAGCACTTGCTGTATGAATGTTGAGTCTCCAAGTACAATCAATATCTACTTCAAGACGTTTTTATCCCCGACAATTCTAATCGAACATTTGATATGGAGTTTCTATTTGTCTTTGTGTTTGAAAATTGATCATTAGGAATCTTTAAGTTTATTGGGTTAAAAGTTTCTGGTTAATTATACAGAAGTATGAGAGAATATAAGATCATTCTTGTCAATGTAATTTAGGTATTGTATACAACAGTAAAATATCAACATTACAGCAAATCTTATATTGGTCCAGATAAAAAAGTTCCTGATCTGGACTGTTCACTGGAATACGATTCTAGAAGCTTTCATTTGTACTCAGTTCAATAAGAAATTATAAATTCTTAATTGATCTGTTTTTTCTCATTGTCAACATATTTTTTTTTCACTATTTTGAAAAGTCATCAGAAGAAGATAATTACTGAAAACATGTAGAACTCTTACATTGAATGGTAGGTTAACCAAAGTTTCAACAGGTATACATCTGCAATAGACTTCACACTAAGGCAAAACCCAAGAATTTTCTTAATATTTCTGAACTCTTTATTGACTGTTGACCTTGAAGATGAGGTGGAAAGCCCATATCAAAGACAGATAAGTGCTGTGTTATCATTAAAATGTCACTGCTATTTGTGTAGAGATTTCTTTTGTGTAAATGTTTAAGATTTGATTTCCGTTTTTTTTTTTTAGCCATATGCCGCACAGGCTGTAGTCATGGATCATGTGACATCCCAGGAGAATGCAGGTGAGATCTTCTATTCCATCTGCAAATTGGTATTGCTTGACCATACTACAGTAAAAAAAGATGCAGATAGGGCCTAGATATACTAGAATAAAAAGATACTTGGAAATTATGGCCTAGATATACTGGAGTTAAAAGACGCAGAAAGGGCCTAGATATATTGGTGTAAAAAGAAACAGGAAGATACTAAGTATACTAGTGTAAAATGATACTTGGAAGCCTAGCTGTAGTAAAGTATAAAGCTACAGAAAGGGCCTAGATATATTGAAGTAAAAAGGAAGACTGGAAGAGCCTAAATAGCAAAGGTTTTCTCCAGTGATAGGTTAGATTGTTTTGTAGGACAAAATTAATTTGCATGAAAGCTTGCATTATATAGATTCTGTAGTGTTCAGTGTTAGCATAATCTGATATAAATAAGGGTTTGTGAGGTAATGCTTCATTGCTACTGATGGTGGGGCCTGGGTCACTGCTATGGACAGTGGAGCCTGGGTCACTGCTACTGACAGTGGAGCCTGGGTCACTGCTACTGATGGTGGAGCCTGGGTCACTACTACTGATGGTGGGGTTTGGGTCACTGCTATGGACAGTGGAGCCTGGGTCACTGCTACTGACAGTGGAGCCTGGGTCACTACTATGGACAGTGGAGCTTGGGTCACTACTATGGACAGTGGAGCCTTGGTCACTGCTACTGACGGTGGAGCCTGGGTCACTGCTACTGATGGTGGGGTTTGGGACACTGCTATGGATGTTGGGGTTTGGGTCACTGCTAATGACGTTGACGCCTGGGTCACTGCTATGGACAATGGAGCAGAGGTCACTGTTACTGGTGGTGGGGCCTACTGACAGTGGGGTCTAGGTCACTGCTACAGACAATGGAGCCGAGGTCACTATTACTGATGTTGGGGCCTATTGACAGTGGGGTCTGGGTCACTGCTATGAACGTTGCTGCCTATTTCAATGCTACTGATGATGGCCAAGATTGATGGGTTAGATGTTGAAGTTTACCTGGGTAAAGACTACTAAACCTTAACATGTTGTAACATAAACACTGAAATAGTAAACTTTTCAAGGTCAAGGGATTAACCATGGGATCAGAATCAGCATTTTAGGCTCGCATGGTTTTTCTTACTCTGCATAACACTGATATTTCATACGTCTGAAAAATAATATGTGTATTTGATGTTTGGAAAAATGCATGTTTAAAGATAAATTGTAAAAAATTGGAACAAAGGATGATGAGAGGCTGTGATTACCTACATACAAACAGATATACATCGCTTGCTTGTTGAGAGGAGTTCAGGTATTGTGTGGCTGTTGTTCCCACGCTTTACTCTGACACTTCATGTGTCTAATTACAGAGTTACAGATTGGGTTCTATGGGTGATGAAAATTTAACTATATTGTCATTAGTGTCTCCATGTTCAAACATGACTTTTGGTATGGTAAAATTATAGTAGTATAGTAACATTTGTCAGTGGGAAAGTCGGCACAAAAATGTAATTTAACGTGTTATTATAGCACAAGACCCTTAAAATGTCATTTATTTCTCATCATGAATCTCATTAGTGAAATGACAGTTAATTAGCATTACTAAGAAGACTAGTTTGTCATCGTGAAATTACAGTCATTTCTTTACATAAAACATTAACAATAGGTAAATTTACATAATGATACCTGGTAAAGATTAACCCTAGGTAAATTGTACGATCGATAGAAAATAAAAGGATTTTAAGGTAAAACAAGATCTAGCGGTGGATATAATGATCTCAGTTGAATAAAGGAACTACACGTAATTATAGAATTATAAGGTAAAACGGGATCAAGATGTGAATATAGGATATTCAGGTGATTATAGGATTTGAAGGTAAAACAGGATCTAGAGGTGGATATAATGATCTCAGGTGAATAAAGGATCTACAGGTAATTATAGAATTATCAGGTAAAACAGGATCCTGATGTGAATATAGAATATTTGGAACATTATGGGATTTGAAGGTAAAACAGGATCAAGAAGTAAATAAAGGAATCTGAGTTTGCATGATATACTAGCTACAGTGTTAAGGCTCATTAAATGTCAGCTGCAAAATCCTACTTCTTTTTCCCACAACACAATTCTTACTCCATATTCCTTCTTCATGTTGATATCAGAAGCCAATCAGATTTGGCAGCGCAGATGCATGTGCATTATGTGTATTTGTGCATAAATCATTGAAGTGTCACCTTAGGTAATAAAAGATTGAAACAGGTTAGCCTCCTTGTCGTGTAATGATCGTGTTGCTGGTGATTTTAAGTGTGTCGTAATGAGATTTCCAAGATGGCTGCTTTGATTGGATCGACTGTCAGTCTTAATGTTCTACCACAGTTAGCCATGATACACATTTAATTACCTCAAGGACTAGGACTTCTGTTCTTCCTGAAACAGTTACAGTGTCATGGAGACAAAAGTGATCTTGTTTTTAAGTTTGTGTTTGAGGGCTGAACTGCTAAGGAATAGACCGTCCTTGTTCTTTTCATACACTGCTTGTCAATTTAGATAAATATTCAGAGGATTTTCGTGCAAATTTTGTCTTAAATTAACAACGTAGCATTTGGCTATTGATATAATGAATTGGTTATCATGATTATGGTTGATCTGAAGTGATGCCATGTTTAATGTCCAACTTTAATGGACAGTAATGTGCATTCTTTTGCTTGGCTTACTGTAGTTTTGGTGATAACAGGCAGATATCCAAGCTAAGGTGCCCAAAAACACAATGTCCGGTACATGGTATATACCAGCTAACTAATGATGCAGAAAGAGCACATGTGCAAGCTAACCATTTCAAAATTAAGATTTTTGCTCGCACACGATGGTGAGGCTCTTTTTGTATTCATATGCAATGTGTGAAAGCCTGTTAAATTTCAAAATGTTATATAATCAACGAACAAATTATTGTACTCACTGGCTCAGTCTTTACAAATGGATATCACAAAGTATTAATGGAGGTTTCCACAAAAGCAGGATTGATAAGTTAAAAAAGTAAAAGAATTTTTTATATATTCACCATTTTATTAATGATTACATATTGTAATATATCACAAAAGTACCATACAGTGATGACATTAATAAGAGAGGATCAGTACACAAAAAGTGATGACATTACAAAGAGGGATCAGCTCACATAAAGTGATGTCATTACAGAAAGGGGATCAGCTCACATAAAGTGATGACATTACAATAAGAAGATAAGTACACATAAAATGATGACATCACAATTGTGATCAATCCAAAGGTTAATCTATAATGAAATATCTATAGAAAGGTTACAAAGGTACTAAGTAAAGCAGTAACTATTGATATGACACAGTGGAATGTTTGCCATTCCTTTGTAAAAACTTAGGAATTATTTGCAGCATGCCATTGAGCTGGAGCTTCCTGGGAAGATGGCTACCGTATGCCAAAACATCACTTAGATTTCCATCTGTTCATGAGTGTGTCTTAATTGTTTTTCACATCTAATATTGTTTCAATGAACACCTGTTTCTGATTGCTGTCTAATTCCTACAAGCAGCCTTTTCCTGGCATGCCAGGTCTGAACTGGTTATTGGTACATTTACAAATCAGACAAAAACTGGATAAGTTTATGTAGCATAGTTCACACACCTAGGCTGTAAATATACAAATAGGTAGATAACATTCATCAAAGTCGAAATGAAAGATAGGCAGGTGAGATTGGTCAGTAAATTAGAACTGATTAAAATCATTGTATTAGGTTTTCGGAGAAACATGCAGAAATGGGTTTATCTTATAAACTGTGTGATATAAGTGACAGTTTCTGTAAGCTGTGTGAGACACATATAGGTATCTGTAGGCTGTGTGGACACATAGGTATCTGTAGGCTGTGTGAGACACATACAGGTATCTGTAGGCTGTGTGAGACACATATAGGTATCTGTGAGCTGTGTGAGACATATATAGGTATCTGTAGGCTGTATGAGACACATATAGGTATCTGTAGGCTGTGTAAGACATATATAGGTATCTGTAGGCTGTGTGAGACACATATAGGTATCTGTAGGCTGTGTGAGGCATATATAGGTATCTGTAAGCTGTGTGAGACATATAAAGGTATCTGTAGGCTGTGTGAGACACATATAGGTATCTGTAGGCTGTGTGAGACATATATAGGTATCTGTAGGCTGTGTGAGACACATATAGGTATCTGTAGGCTGTGTGAGACACATAGGTATCTGTAAGCTGTGTGAGGCACATATAGGTATCTCTAGGCTGTGTGAGACATATATAGGTATCTGTAGGCTGTGTGAGACACATATAGGTATCTGTAGGCTGTGTGAGACATATATAGGTATCTGTTGGCTGTGTGAGACACATATAGGTTCTGTAGGCTGTATGAGACACATACAGGTATCTGTAGGCTGTGTGAGACATATATAGGTATCTGTAGGCTGTGTGAGACACATATAGGTATCTGTAGGCTGTGACAGACACATATAGATATCTGTAAGCTGTGTGAGACACATTGGTATCTGTAGGCTGTGTGAGACACATAAAGGTATCTGTAGGCTGTGTGAGACACATATAGGTATCTGTAGGCAATGTGAGACACATATAGGTATCTGTAAGCTGTGTGAGACACATATAGGTATCTGTAGGCTGTGTGAGACACATATAGGTATCTGTAAGGTGTGTGAGACACATATAGGTATCTGTAGGCTGTGTGAGACACATAGGTATCTGTAGGCTGTGTGAGACACATATAGGTATCTGTAGGCAATGTGAGACACATATAGGTATCTGTAAGCTGTGTGAGACACATATAGGTATCTGTAGGCTGTGTGAGACACATATAGGTATCTGTAAGCTGTGTGAGACACATATAGGTATCTGTAGGCTGTGTGAGACACATATAGGTATCTGTAGGCTGTGTGAGACATATATAGGTATCTGTTGGCTGTGTGAGACATATATAGGTATCTGTTGGCTGTGTGAGACACATTTAGTT